ATTTCTTTCTGTCTTGAATAATTACTCTGGGAAGCTCTTTCATTACAATTATCTTCTTCCCATCCATTTCCAAAGGCTCAGTAAATTGCTTTCTAAGTATATCCTCTTTCATCCGTTTGGTTAATAATTGTACGATCACATCTCTCGGCAGATTTTTCTGCTGTGCATAGGCTGAATTCACTCTATAAATCAAATCAAAGTTAAATTCTATCTCATCAGCATCTTCTTTGAGATGTTCTGCTAAGGCTTTAATCACTCTGACACGAATATCATCATCCATTGCATAGCTCTATACTCCATCATTGTGTCTATCCGTTTATTTTCTTTCACCACCGTTTCAACTTTTAAGTTCACGTCTTATACTTTTTGCTCCATTTCCGCAGACTTCTGTGACAAACTTTGGAACTCTTTTTTAATTTCTCCCACTTCTTTTTTAAGCTCAGCCACTTCTGATACTACCAGCTCCTTCATTGTGGCCCCCAGTTCCTGGATTGCATCCATCATCCCCTTTTCCATCGCTTCCATTGCTGCTTTCATTTCCTTGTCTTTGGCTCTGGCCTCTTTGGTGTCGAGAACGACGCTGCTCTCTGTCTTGTATCCGTTGTTAAAAATTACTGAACCTACTCCTCTTAGAAATGTCTATCTGCTTACACAGTTCAATAGTCCTTGATGCGCTTACCCAAATCGCCCTTTTTTCACTCTTCCAAATCACTTCCCAAGCTGTAAAAATTAATTTTAAAATTAGTCCTCCTCAAAATGGCGGGCGCCTTTTCTCTATGATTTTTTAATGTAGAGTAGGCTTCCCACTGCAACTTCCGGTCCGTCGCTTATTCGCTTCCACTTACTTCCGGTGTCACTCCTTTTTTCTTCCCCATCCTCTTCCGGTCCGTCCCTGCAGCTCCAATCTTCTTCCGGTCCGCTCCAAGTCTTGTCCCCAACACAGTCCTGAGCCCCCCCGCCCTGCCTGCCTGCCTGCCGGCTCCGATGAGGAGGCAGCGGCGGCAACCCCCACTCTCGCCACTCTCTCTCTCTTTCGCCCCCCCCTCTCGCCACTCTCTCTCTCTCTTTCTCTCTGTCTCTCTCTCTGTTTCCGCCCCCCCACTCTCTCTTCCTCTCTCTTTTGCCTTCCCCCCCGGCTCCGACCCGAGGGCCGCGCGGCTTGGAAGCCGCGTGGGCCTCGGCTCCATCTCTTTCCGGCTCTCTCCTCCCCCCTCACCGTCTCCGAGGCACCTCGCACTCTCTCTCTCCCCCCCCAGCTCCTGCGGCGGCGGCGTTGTTCCAGAGCGTCCCCTGCGCACGCGCAGGAGACGCTCTTGCACTTTCAGGGGGATTTAAACATCCCCCCGAAATTTTTTGCAACTTTTAGTGAAAAGTGTGCACAACGTGTGTACAAACCTCCCCCTCCCCCCCAAGTGCCCCCGGAGCGCTGATTTAGCGATCCGCACTCCTGGGGCAACTTGGCTATTAGATATATAGATAATGTGTTTCCCTCTTCAGTAATTCTCGCCTCATTCCGCCCCTTAGTCACCACACATGGCCCTCAGTAGCTATCGTGCCCTCACTCCCAAGCTCTATTACAGTTCTATCACTACTGCCAATTTTACACAATCATCCCTTTGGATTGACTTGTCCCGAACCAGAGACTCCCCAGCTCCTGTAGGCTTTCACCTCAGGATTAGTTTAGAAGGTGCTCTGACACCTTTTTGATATTAGACGCCAGCAGCCTGGTTCCCTTTTGGTTCAAGTGAAGCCCGCCTCTTTTGTACAGGTTTGGCTTGTCCCAGAAAGTTCCCCAGTGCCTAACAAATCTAAACCCTTCCTCCCAGCACCACTTTCGTCTCCACACATTGAGACCCCTGATCTGTGCCTTTCTAGCTGGCCCTATGTGTGGAACTGGCAGCACTTCTGAGAATGCTACCTTTAAGGTCCTGGTCTTTAACTTTCTGCCTGGTAACCTAATTTTTTTCTCCAAGTCCACACAACTACATTTTTCTCCAAGTTCACATGACTACAATGTGCACCATGACTGCTGACCCCTTCCCAGTACTATCTGTTAACCTATCTAGACAGTGTGTGATGTCCGCAATCTTCACACCAGTCAGGCAGATCACCATGTGGTCAAAATGCCCATCACAGACCCCACCCTGTATAGTCCTAATGATTGAATCACCCAGTGCCAGAAGTTCACTTCCCCCTAGCCCTCCAGGGGTATCCTCGAATGATAGGATATTGGTCTGTTGCCCAAGGAAGGGGTCCCTTCTAAGAGATCACATCCCTCCTCCTAATACTGATGCTGTCCTACCTCAAGACTCTCTCACTCTTCACAACAGCAGAAGAGCTGTCAGCACAGGAGTGGGATTGTTCTGGTAAGTCCCTGAGGGTCTCTTCCCCAAATCTCTTTCTTTGCCTCAGCTTCTTCAGGTTGGCAACCCTAGCCTCAAGGCAATGAAGCTGCTCCCTGAGACCCATGAGCTCCATGCAGCAAGCCCACACCCACGATTTATACCCAGTGGGTAGATAATTGTGAATGTGGCACTCTCTGCTAAACACTAGGTAGCCCCTGCTCCTCCGTTGGTTTTCTACCTTCTTAACTATTTAGTGGTTTAAAGGTATCTAGATCATAGAACACAGAAAAGTTTTGTTAGAGGTGCACCAATGTACCACCTGGGCACAGTAGGATTTGGGGAGGGGAAGGGTCAGCCGGAGCCACCAGACCCTCCCACACCTGCCTCGGCATGCCTCCCAACCCACCTCTGCCTGCTGCCTGGCTTCCTGGGGGGTGGCGGTGCTGCAGGAGGACCTGCCTGAGGAGGAGGAGGCACAGTCAAGCAGCTACACCCAGCACTGCAGTGCTGCTTTGTTGCCTGCTGCTGCCTGGATGTGATGCAGCAGTGGGATGCTGGTGAGCAGCGAGGCAGCCCTGGCCCTGCGCAGTGCCCCATCATGCTCATCTCCATCCCTGCTGCCCTCCTTCCGGCTGCAGGCAGGCAGCATGGCATGAAGCGTGGGGAGGGTCAACCTGTGGCTACTGGGGGAACTTCACAGGCTGGCCCCTCGCCCCTGTTCCTCCGGCCAGCAGGGGGACTCCCTGTGCCCCTTCACCTCCTCCTTCCTCTGCTGGCCGGCAGGACCATGGCCCCTGCACTTTGCCTGCAGTCACCCAGGGCTCTACCTGCACCACCTCTCTCCATCTGCCCAAGCGGGCCCTACTTGGCAATTGTGTCAGTGGCAAGCCGAGTGTGGGCCGAGAAATGCTTCCCCTCCATTGGCAAGCCAGGCAGGCGCTTCAGAGGGGGAAGGGGGAGGCATGGCTGTTTGGAGAGGGTGCCAGATACTTGTGCTCTAGAGTGATGCATGGTCCCCAGGTGTGACGCCCAGGCTAAGAGCCACAGGCCAAGAGCCCTTGGAGGAGCCTTACAGTTCAGAGGCCCACATCCCCTGCCTCCCAGCAGCAACCGCAGAGGGTGGTGCTTGTTCAACAAGCAACAGACTCGACAAGGACCCAAATGGACCCAGACAAAAACACCCTTCTCCAGAAGGCTGCAAGCACCCACTCACCCTCAAACTCTGTATAATGTACTGGGTTCGGACACGAGGTAGTGAAATCAGCTCATGAGTTTATTGTAATTCTGCTCGGATACACACAATGAGAGCAGGACTGGTGGTCTGCTTAAATCCCCATTCTAAACCACACCCAAGCACACACCCACACCCATGATAGGATTATTTACAGTGCACCCCAAATCCCATAGGTTAACTCTCAGATCCTGACTACTCGATAGTTGCGTTTTAGGATCCGTGTGGTCTGTTGTCTTGAGAGCGAAGCTTAGGCCGCTCGCATGTCCACGTGTGGATCCGACCCCATGCGTGGTCTATGTAAGAACACAACACTCTGTCCAATTTGGTGTAGTGGTTAAGTGCACGGACTTTAATCTGGGAGAACCGGGTTTGATTCCCCACTCCTCCACTTGCACCTGCTGATGTGACCTTGGCCCCGTCACAAGCTCTGGCACAGCTGTCCTTGAAAAAGAGCAGTTTCTGTCAAGAGCTCTCTCAGCCCCACCTACCTCACAGGGTGTCTGTTGTGGGGAGGGGAAGGGAAAGGAGTTTGTAAGCCGCTCTGAGACTCCTTTGGGTAGTGAAGGGCGGGGTATAAATCCAATCTCTTCTTCTTCTTCTTCTTCCCTCACAAAGTAACCTCAGTTAATGCTCCCCAGTAATTTAGCAGTTCAGGAAAGACAAAAAAAGAGGCAAACCCTCACCTTCTCAGCATCTCTTTCCTGGGTTCTGTCTCCCAGCCCAGCTGGTTCATCTTGTATTCTGTTTGTTATATTGCTTGGGCATCATATTTATTCAGGTTTGTTTGATGTTATTGCTGTTAGAATGTGTTTTAGTAAAACAGACATTGTTTTTAGTGATGTTATCCTTTTTAACTGTTGGTTTTTGTTATGTATTATTGCTACAAGATGCCTCATGTGCAGTTTGCAGTAGGGATAAAACATATTAAATCAACATGTATCAAGTACATTAAATAAATAATGTTCACATACCATTGATGTAACATAGTTAGAATCGTATCGTTTTCCAGTTTGTTCAACTGGAATATAGTGTGTTTAATATCTTTTGTCTCCTTGTGCAGCCAGTATGAGAACTTCTAACAGATTTTTCTAACTGACTGTCCTGTTGTATACTAAGTTAGCATCCTTTGACTTTTGTGTATTGTATGCTCTTTCAGTTATGCAGAAATTTAAGTTTTCTTTATTTAAATATTCTTTATAGAAGATTATTTTTAGGTTTATTAAATTTCCCTTCGTATATGGTATAACCTTCACAATGTTAATTTGCTTGTTTCATACATGGATAATGCTGAAATTTCATACCCATAATTTTGTTCTGTTTTTATCTTAGCATATTACTTCCATCTCCATTTTCCTTCATGCCTTTGTTTTTTCAGACCCCCTGCTACACGTTTCTTCATCACTGTTTTTCCACAGCCAATTATTCTGAGTCCTGGGATGTCCTTAACTCTGCCTATCATCTTCAGACCTTTGGAAAAGGTATGCCAGGGATGTACTGCCTTCCTTTCTAACACCACCAATATAGCTGTGTATAGGAACAGCATTCCCACCAAATAGAGGGGAGGATTCACCCACCAGATAGAGGGGGTGAAAGTGATGTGTTTGCCCCAGCTGAAACTTGTGGCACTATGTACCCTGCTGTTTCCTTAGAATTATATTTGGATTAGTGTCACAGATGTGCAAACTCAAGTTAGGACTCTCCTTACTTCCTAACTAGAAGGAAACCAGTTTTAGAAAAGAGAGGTTGTAACTTGTTGGGCACAGCCAAAACAGTAGTGCAGTGTCAGTAGTCTGTATCATTCACAACACTGTCAAGGCTAGATGACAGCCACACAAACCTCTCTAGAAAAGATAGAGTAATAACATTATGCAGCAGATCTTCAAAATGTTGCAGTGAATGAACTGACAGTCATCTGTTTACTGAGTGGAGTGCATGAATGTGAAGTTCCTGCTTTATGTACGTGGAAGCCCTCTGAATGTCCTTTTCA